TGGAGTGCAGTGGCGCGATCTCGGCTCATTGCCACCTCTGCCTCCCGGGTTCAAGCGATTCTCCTGCCTCAGCCTCCTGAGTAGCTTGGATCACAGGCACCCGACACCACACCCGGCTAATTTTTGGACTTTTAGTAGAGACGGAGTTTCACTATGTTGGCCAGGCTGGTCTCGAACACCTGACCTCGTGATCCGCCCACCTCGGCCTCCCAAAGTGCTGGGATTGCAGGCGTGAGCCACCACACCTGGCCTTACCCAGCACATTTTTAAATTTCCGTAAATGTTAGGTTAGGGATACTGCAACCTGCCATGGGGGGCCGTTGCTGAAACGTCATTCTTGCCCTTGGGGAACTCCCACTTGGACTAAACTGTCACATTCAATTGAGACCTCTGAGCTGTAGTCTTGGGGTGTATGGCCTCATTTGATGTTTACAGAAAGATTCCTAGAGTAATGATTCCTTAACTTTATTATTATTTTTTGTAGAGATGGGGTCTCACTGGCTGGGTGCAGTGGCTCACGCCTGTAATCCCAACAATTTGGGAGGCTGAGGTGGGATAATCACTTGAGGTCAGGAGTTTCAGACCAACCTGACCCACATGATGAAACCCTGTCAACCTTGTCTACTAAAAATACAAAAATTAGCCGGTCTTGGTGGCAGGTGCCTGTAATCCCAACTACTTAAGAGGCTGAGGCAGAAAAATCGCTTGAACCCACGAGGTGGAGGTTGCAGTGAGCTGAAATCATGTCACTGCACTCCAGCCTAGGTGACAGAGGGAGACTCTGTCTCAAACAAATAATAAAGATGGAGTCTCACTGTGTTGCCCAGGCTGGTTTTGGACTCTGAGGCTCCAGTGATCCTCCTGCCTCAGCCTCCCAAAGTGCTAGGATTTACAGGTGTGAGCCACCCATGTCCAGCCAAACCCTTATTTTAATTTTTATTTTTTTTGAGACAGAGTCTCCTGGGCTGGAGCACAGTGGCACAATCCCAGCTCACTGCAACATCCGTCTCCGGGTTCAAGCAATTCTCCTGCCTCAGCCTCCTGAGTAGCTGGGATTACAGGCATGGGCCACCACACCCAGCTAATTTTTTGTGTTTTTAGTAGAGACAGGGTTTCACAATGTTGGCCAGGCTGGTCTACAACTGCTGACCTCGTGATTCACCTGCCTCGGTCTCCCAAAGTGCTGGGATTAGAGGCGTGAGCCACTGTGCCAGCCCACACCCTTGTTTTATAGGTATGAAATCATCATTAGGAAAAAGACACTTGCCTAACAACACGTAGCTAGTAAGTGGGGAGAAAGATTTTCCACTGAAATTTACTAATAGGATTTGTTTCAAGGTCTGAAAAGATGGGTTATATCCAGTTCATTTCCCCACATGGGTTCTCAGAGTGCTCCCTGGACCAGCAGCATCAAGATCACCTGGGAATTTATTATAATTGGTTAGAAATGCAACCAGTTTCTGGACCTACTGAGTCAGGGACTTGGCGGTGGGACCCATCAAACAATGGTTAATCAAGACTCCCCCCCCCATCTCACAACCCCAGTGATTCAGATGCATATTCAAAATTGAGCACCTCTGTTGTAAACTATACCATCCTTCCAGGTACCACACACTCCCTTAAGGACCCTCAAATACCTTGTTGCAGGAATTCATAATCTTCCTCAACTGGGGGTCTGTGAATGAGCCTTTAGAAATTCTCGGGAATTGGCTGGGGCAGTGGCTCATGCCTCCAGGACGTTCAGAGGCCAAGTCAAAGGGATCACAAGGTCGGGAGATTAAGACCAGTCTGGCTAACACGATAAAACCTCGTCTCTACTAAAACTACAAAAAAAATTATCTGGCTGTGGTGGCACATGCCTGTAGTTGCAGCTACTTGGGAGGCTGAGGCAGGCGGATCACGAGGTCAGG